GGGGGGGGGGGGGGGGGGTGCAGGAGGCGGGGCGCTTCAGCAGGGAAAGTGCTGGGACTTGCTGCAGCGTGGCACTCTTTCTGAATTCTTACTTGCTAAATCTGGCAACCCTGAGCATGTGTGTGTTTCCAAAACAGGCCGGGAACAATTGGTGGGGAGCCAGAGTAAAACCCCAGGAGCCCCAGGAGCCCCCGCACCTGAGAAGGAGGGACTAGGGAGGCATGAGCATGAGCGTGTGGGGTCACAAGAGGGACAGGAGCAGGGGCCGCAGCGTCTGCACTGCCTGAGGGAAGGATGAGGACGGAGGGTGAGAGGGGCTGGTCTGCTGGTGAGTTAGTGTGGGGCACGGCGAAGAGTGAACAGGAGATGAGGGCAGGGACAACTCGAAATAAGCTGGTTATGCAAGGAGGGATGCAAGAGTAGCTAGAGGAGAGACAGAGCTTCTCCAGCCAGCCAGGAAGACTGAGCATGCTCATAGCTGAGGGCTGGCTGCAGACAGGTGAGAGAGAAGGGACAGAGGGCAGCTGGGGCCACTGTGCTGCTGAGACTGGGCAGGGTGCTCTCGACTCCTGATGCTCAAAGTTGTAGGTGGGGACAGCAACATCAGCCTCCACCTGGAGCTGGTCGGAAATGCAGAACTTCTGGTCTGCCCCGGACCTGGCCTAGTCACCCACCACCACCAGTCACTACCCCTACTTCCAGCACCATCACCACCACCAATCACCCAGCACCATCACCACCACCAATCACCCAGCACCATCACCACCACCAATCACCCAGCACCATCACCACCACCAATCACCCAGCACCATCACCACCACCAATCACCCAGCACCATCACCACCACCAATCACCCAGCACCATCACCACCACCAATCACCCAGCACCATCACCACCACCAATCACCCAGCACCATCACCACCACCAATCACCCAGCACCATCACCACCACCAATCACCCAGCACCACCACCACCAATCACCCTCCCCACTTGCCGCCACCACCACCAACCACCCAGCACTACCACCACCAATCACCCTTCCCAGTTGCCGCCACCACCACCAATCACCCAGCACCATCACCACCACCAACCACCCAGCACCACCACCACCAATCACCCAGCACCACCACCACCAATCACCCTCCCCACTTGCCGCCACCACCACCAATCACCCAGCACCATCACCACCACCAATCACCCAGCACCATCACCACCACCAATCACCCAGCACCACCACCGATCACCCTCCCCACTTGCCGCCAGCAGCACTGATCACCCAGCGGCATGAGCACCACCACGCACCATCACCATCACCACCCCCACCTTCACCAGCACTTACTTACCCAGCACCACCACCCAGATACACTGTGCTCATATCCTGCTGGTTTGGCTGATGAGATACGTTTGGCTCTTCTAGCAAGCACCTTTATGACTTTAGATGGTACAGCCGAATTTTTTTTCCACTTGACAACTTAGAGACTGTTTCTTGCCTTCCTGCATGGAAGATGAGGAGAGTGGGCCTCCTTTCCCTCTCTTTTCAGGTCTTCCTCCGTCTTCCATCTCACAGTTTGGTTAATTACATTATTTTTATCACGCAGTCAAGGTTTACAAACAGACTTCATATTATACTCTGTACCTATCACGAGGCCTCCATGCTTGGGCCATAGGTTGATAGACATACTATGAATCACTGACCTACAGAGAGGGAAATAAAATCCTGGTTATCAGAGCTGTGTTGCCTGAAAGAGCCTTCGGGGACTCCAGGCCTAAGGGCTCCTCTTCCAGCTCTTTGACGTCGTTCCTTCCCGGGACGAGCTTGGCCAGCGCGCTGTTCTTTGCGCCTCCCCCAGCGCCATCTTGCACGGATTCTTCTGTTCAGGAGGAGGGTCTCCTGCAGTGGGAGCAAGCACCCTGACTTTTGCGTTCATGATACAGCTAGAGGCGTTCTGCAGTGCAACTTGGCGTTGGTGTAAACGTGCCGTGTCCCTGCAGGTCCTACTAGGCCCTTATTTGTCCTCAGTCTTCATTAATAGTTTGGCTGGATGTCGCATCCAGTTTCAAAGTGCTTTCCCTCGGGTATTTGAAGACATTGCTCTTTTTCTTCCTTCTTGAAGTTTTTTTTCCTTGGGAAGCTAAAGAAAACAGAACAAAATAAAGCAACCCCTTCAGCGGTTTCGCAGCATCCAATACGGGTGGAGAGAAGCCCGCGTGAGAATGTGACCTTTCTTCCCGTGTGTGTATTGGGCGCGTTGTTAGTGTGTGTGCGCTTGCAGAGTTTTCTTTCACTTTGAAGGCTGACGTGTTCCTGGCAGGGGGGTGCATTGTCCCTCTTGGCATTTCATGCTCCTCTCCTTCCGCTGGCTGCTGCCTTTAGCTCAGAAGAACGGTCTTCCCCGCGTGCTCACGTGCGCCGTGTGGTGTGCCTGCCGTGCGGTGTGCCGTCCTGCGTCCTGTCGTCCATCCTGCTGTGGCCCCCGGTCCTGAGGGTGCAGACCTCCTCCGTGTCGCCTGTCCTGTTTCTTTTCCTTCAGCTCTGTGCTCTGCGTCTGCTCCTGACCTACATCCAGACCCATGAGCTGCGGCTTTAGCTTCTGTCACCGCATTACTTGGCCCACCCACCGAATTTAGTTCAGTAATCCTGTTCTCAAAGTAACTTCTTTTATTTTCAGACTTTTCTTTTTCATAGCAGTGAGTCTTGTTTTGCCTGCCTCTGAAGAGACTAATTAGGATTTCTGTTAAAGCTCTGTTCGGGTCCCTAGATTTGCTCCCCCAGGGCTGACTGTTGGGTTGGTCATCAGAGGCCTTCTCTCCCACCCGGGTCTTCTGGCATGGAGAGGTCGGTGGGCATCTCTTGGTGTTGGAGGGGGCGTCCTGCTGCCATGTAAGTGGCTGGCTTTGCTTTTCCCTGCAGAAGCCTGGCTGTGAGTCCTGAGTTAGGGTGCGTGGGTGGCCTTTACCCACCTGCAAGGTTCCCTGGAGAGAGTCAGGCCTCCCGGAAAGCTCTCCGATGTCACTTGCCCCATGGAGGTGGCTCACCTCTGCCTCTGAACAGAGCGTGATGTGGGCCACAAGGTCTCCCCCAGGCCCCGAACTCTTCCGTGAGAGGGGTCCTGATTGCGGGGCTCGGCTCTCTTCTGGGCCGGTTTAGGGCCACAGGGAGGATCTCCAGACAGCCTGGCCCTGACCGAGCCCCGCCCGGGCAGGTGGAGCGAGTGTCGCACCTGCTACTGCAGCAGCAGTATGAG